GATTCTGACCTTGGCTGAAAGCTGAAATTTTTGGTGGGGGGAACATTAGCCTTAATCCTGACATCTAAAGAAATGAGATTAATCATTTTCTATTTTCAGTGGAGAAAAAAATTCTGAGAGGTGGGAGGAAGGAGGAGGAGGAAGAAGGGTTTGAAATAAAGAAGAAAGAAGCAGGGACAGTGAGCAGTGGCTCAGATCTGTAGACTTAGCTATTTGGGGTGAAGGGATTGGGTGGGTGGAGGTAGAATTTCTGTGAGACTCCATCTCAACCAATGGCTGGGCTCAGTGGCATCTATCTGTCATCCCTAGTGAGAGGCAGGGAAACACAAGTGGAGGACTGTAACCCAGGCTGGCCAGGTCATAAACAAGACCTTAACCAGAAAGTAACTACTATGGTAGAGTTTCCAAGTGCAAGTCCCTGAGTTCAATCTCTAGAACCACCAAGAAGAAAGAAAAGAAAGAAGGAAAGAAGGAAAGAAAGAGGAAGGAAGGAAGGAAGATGGAAGGCACATAATTAAACTGTAAAAGAAAAATACAAAGTTGAAAAAAAAATTATCATCTCCTGCAAGCATTTATGAGTATGAGAGCATGGGAGGGACTCCTTCACTAACGTTTTCCTGTTCATCCTGAGATCCTAGCTACTCAGGAAGCTGAGATCTGAGGATCCTGGTTCAAAGCCAGCAGGGGCAGGAAGGTCCGTGAGACTCTTATCTCCAATAAACCACTAGAAAACCAGAAGTGGCGCTGTGGCTCAAGTGGTAGTGCAATTGCCTTGAGCTGAAGAGCGCAGGGACAGCGTCCAAGCCCCATAACCAACCAAAAAAAAAAAAAAAGAAAAAATATGCATGAGGGCTGGGAAGGTGGCTCAGTGGTAGAATGCTTGCCTTGCATGCATGAGGCCCTGGGTTCAATTCCTCAGCACCACATAAACAGAAAAAGCCAGAAATGGCTCTGTGGCTCAAGTGGTAGGGCACTAGCCTTGAGCTGAAGAGCTGAGGGACAGTGCCCAGGCCTCAGAGTTCAGGCCCCATGACTGACAAAAAAAAAAAAAAGAAAGAAAGAAAAGAAAAGAAAATATGCATGAAACAGTTTTCAAGTGGGAAGTGGTTCTGCTGGCTTTCATCTGAAAAACCACCTGAAATTGCCAATGGCTTTCTCCTTCCTTTTTTTTTTTTTGTTATTTGCTTGCTTCCTTCCTTTCTCCCTTCCTTCCTTCCTTTCTCCCTTCCTTCCTTTCTCCCTCCCTTCCTTCCTTCTTTCCTTCCTTCCTTCCTTCCTTTCTTTCGCTCTCTCGCTTTTTCTTTTCAAAACAGCTACACAGGAAAGTGGTCTTTTGCCTTGAAAACCTCCAAGCAAATGCTCCACACTCAAGATCCTCCGCAGACAGGAAATGCCTTTGCCAACTCCAAGGTCTCCTTCACCCTGCCCTGTGCATTGTCTAGAGACCGCTCCCTCTCCCAGCTGCAAATCAGAGCAGGGACACAAAAGAAGAGAATGGCGATGGAAACCTTGGAGTTCTATGCGTTGATGTCTCCTCTCGGGTGAGCTGCCCACCCCTGGAGGTGCTGAGGGACAGAGTAGCTGCTGCTCTGTGGACTCTTGTTTGGTGTGTGGGAGTCCTCTACAAAGTGCTTCTTCTTGCATTTAACAATACCAAAAACCTAGTAAGGAACCAAGTTAGCTTAATAACACAGGTTCCAGCTAGGAATTTCATAAAGTAAATATGCCTTTCTGTTCCATATCATGGGTATTTACATAAATAATACCTCCAGTCTCAGATTCACAGGATTGTTCATTGTTGGGAGTTGTGAAGAGACATTTAAATGGTGAGTTTTCTGCATTTATGTATTTTCCACAAGGCAACACAATTGGAATGGGAATAAAAGTGCCTTCTATTCCTAGCAAAGTACATTTTTCTCCCGAGCCCAAATATTTAGATTTTCTTGAATCCCTGCCTTCCATTAACTAAGAGAAACATTCATAGTAATAAAACCACAAACAAAAAAATCTTGTCAGCAATGTTGAAAGAGAATAGGTACTTTCACTATCAGAGATGGTTTCCTCTTGTCCCACAAGATGGCTTATCAGCTTTCACTCTGAGAAAACCATAAAAAGAAAAAGAAACCTTACGCAATAGTTCTCTAAATAAAATAATCCACAACAGGCTAGTCATCCCTTAAAAGTGATGTTGTTTAACGAGTCAAAGTACATCATCCAGCAAAATCAATATCCTATTAAGTTAGAAAGGTTTCTCAATATCAAAGAGCAACGAACTGAATAACTTCAAGTATAAGTACATGACCCAGAGGATTAATCACACACTGTCATGGTGAAATTAGGGCAATTCTTCCAATCATTAACGTTTTGCTTACAAAAATGTGCTTTTCTATTTGTCTTTCTGCTAAATGATAACCGTTTTTCAAGTTGAATCTCCTGATAAAAAGAGTTAAAAACAAGACAGGAGCTGTGTTGTAAAGGTCATACATGCTGCTTCAACATGAAATAGCCAAAAGACAAACAAATGAAAAATGCCTGGATTGTAGGAAGAATTTGTAAATATTCATTGGCAGTCGGTAATGGGCACTGTAGAGGAGTCAATGCCAACCTGTGGCCTGAGAATACTGTCTCTCTTCCAATTAAAACAATCTTGCTCTTTTTGTTTGTTTGTTTGTTGGGGGGGGAGCGTGGTGGTACTGAGGCTTCAACTCAGGACCCTGTGTTCTTGCTTAGCTTTTTCTGCTCAAGGCTGTGCTCTTCCACTCAAGACACACTTCCACTTCCATGCTCTTCCTTCTTAAGGACATGTTTAGATGTAGAACATGAGCAACTAGAAGGGAGCTAGGGTTAGCTTTAAACTGGAAGACAGACACAGTCTGGTTTTGGAGCTGTCTACTTTAAAACAAGACTTCACACCCCCCAAGTTTTTCCAGTGTCAAATCAATACATATGCTGGTATTTCTCTGCTCCATAGTCGTGATACAGTTACTCCCAAGAATAAACATTAACCAGAGGTTATCTCTGACAATGTGACACACAAAGATTTCAGGATTACTTTAATTCAATATTAGGGCCACAAGCGTCCCATTCTCCAAGACTGTGATACAGACAGTCTGATTTTCAGAGGGGGCTGGTAATGACCTTTGAGACCTGGTAGCAGGTTTGGAGCCTGCAGCTTATGGGAAGGTGAACTCTCCCACTGGATGTCTACTTTGGGCTCCAACACTGAGGAGATAGGAGGAATAAGGGACAACAATGGAGCATGAACAGGGTTGGGAATTGTAGAATTGGATGGACGGGTTGTGTGCAATGATTTTGTTGTTGTCCACATGGGAGGACTGAAATCAAGAACTCTGGTGCTGCTGAGGCTAGGATTTGAAGATTGTTCTTCAAAGCCAGAACAGGCAGACAAATTGGTGAGACTCTCATCTCCAACTAACCAACAAAAAAACAAGTAGAGGTGTGGCTCAAGTGGTAAAGCTCTTGCCTTGAACAGAAAAGCTAAGGGACAGGGGGCCAGGCTGAGTTCAAGCCCCAATTACCCCCCCCCCCACACACACACACACACTCTTAATACAGGTTTTTAAACTTACAGGCTTATCCTTACCTCTCTGCTTAAGTACTCAGTTCTTTCTCAGAAACCTAATTTACTCACAATTCCTGCCTTCTTGGGGTAGGAGGAGGCAGGGTGTGAGAACTAAGAACAATGACTTTAAAATTTTTTATTATTATAAAGGTAGGTGTACAGGAGGGTTACAGTTTCATAAGTCAGGCAAAGAGTACATTTCTTTTTGGACAACCCTTCCCTCCCTCTCTCCCAGTGTTTCCCTGGCATCTCCACGCATAAGTTGTATAGTTCCTCTTCAACACGGTGTCCAGTGAATACCACTGCTGCATTTAAGGACAATGACTTTCTACTCTTTGTCTGAATGTCCATTTCTGGGGGGGAGGGGGTCACAGCCCTCTTCTGCCAGGCCAGGAGTAGGGTTCTCTCATAGGTTCTCACCCACTCTTCAGTGGCTGGCGAAGACCTAGGCTAAAGGAGGGGATTTCTAGGTCTCTCCCACCTTCCTTTTGGAAAATCATCTGCTAGGCAGGTAGCTGAAGACAGACTAGCAATACCCAGGATGGTAGAAGTTCAGCCCTAAATCCAGCTTCTTCTCTCCCCCGCCCCCCTCCAAATGAGCCTTTCTGGACCCTCCACCCTGGGTCCAGCCATCAGACCTCACGCCCACCACCTGGGTGGGTGACCTCTGACCGACCCAGCGCAGGCAGGAGTTACGGGAAGGGCGGAGGGCGGGCTGAGCGCAGGTCCCACCAGCCTGGTCCCCGGGCAGCGTCCTGGGGAAGTGCTCTGCACCTGCAGCCCGGGCAGCACCTGAGAACTTGCAGAAATGTAAATCGCTGCTCTGGTCCGGCGGAACTGGATGGAGGGACGGGGCGGGCTACGACTTTCCCTGAGCCGCGGCGGGAGACCCGCGCAGCTCGCGGAGAGTGAGCGCGGGCCAGAGCGCCAACTCCGGGCTCCCCCAGCGCGGCTCCCAGCCGCGGGCTTGGGCGCAGGGCGGCTCCGGGACCCCGGCGGCCGTGGCAGGACGCGCCGATGACTCCCGCCCACCAAGGCCGACGGGCAGGAGAATGGTCGCGGCGCCCCGGGCGCCCCGCACGGCGTGGCACAGCCGGGGAGATCTGTGCTGCTTCCTGCCGCGCCCGGGCCTTGAACCTGCCTGGCTTGGGGAGCTGAGGTCCTCCTGCAAACACACACCAGCCCAGCTGTCCCGCAAGCACCCCAAGAAAGGCCCTCGCTCGCGTTCCAGCTCCCCTTCCCGGGCTAAGGCTCCGCGGAGAGCCCAGCCCACCACCCGAGCGCCCCGACGTTCCAGCTAACAGTCTTACCAAACAGTAAACCCCCCCCCCCCCAGCTCGGCCTTCCCGCGGACACATGTGTTTTATAGACAAGTCATTCATTCAAAAAAAAATACCTGTGGACAGGGCTTGTTTTCTTTTACGGTGAGCCATTTTATGTACACGTTATGGACATTGTTTGATATAAACATTATCTACAATCCACTTACACTTAAGCTACTAAGTCTAGCTTGTGATTAATTTTAATCACGGGTGAGTCAGTATCTCTGCCCGAGGGGCTGTATTCCCCTCCTTAGCACCTTGGTCAAACAGGTCCCAAGTGACAGGACAAAAGCAAGCGCTCAAGAGTTTTCACGTTTTGGGTTTTTTTTTTTTTTTGCTTTGTTTTTTGGGTTTTTTTTGTTTTGTTTTGTTTTTAACTCTTCCCTTACAAAAGGAACCCAACATCCTCCAGACAAGATCACTGAAGTGAATTTGGATTTATGAAGCCCCCCCACCTCCCAGGTCTAGGAATGTCATAAAAGTAATGTTTTCTTTTAAAGTATCCCAGGGCTGTCTGAAATGGGGGAGGAGGACTTTTTCCATGACCTACCTCTGGATGGAGAGTGTTCCTTTGCTTTTCCATCAAGTAGAATGTAAATACAATTATAGAACAGTCATTCACGAGCTCCTTACTAGTAAAGCCTTTAAGTTATAACTTAAAATTTTTAACAAGTTCAAAATTACTTCTTATAAATAGAAACAATTTTTAAAGGGGGGATGAAATTAGTCACTTTATCAAAACATAAAAACAATATGTACATCATTTGTTAAGTGAAAATTAAGGCTTCAATGGAGGTTTGTTAATTAGCCAGTGCACCAAATGTTCTGGGTGTCCAGAAAACACCAGAATATCATGGATTTCCATTTTCCAGTTCTTCTGTGAAGAATGTTAATTCCCAAATCCAGTTTTCAGACCAAGTCGATCATCTGTGACCATTATCCGGCATTAAAGTAGACTTTATCGCCCTCAATGTCCACTTCCTGGTCAGAATCCTCTGAAACCTCAGAGTCCAGGTCTTCATGAGAGGTAGGGGAGGGGGAACATTGAGAACTATCCAATGAAGCACCTTTATCCTGTTCACTGGGCAAGTCTTGTCCTTGCTCACAGGGATTGTCCAAACTTTCCAGTTCATCTTTTTTATTGCTTTGAGGGTTCTCCTGAAGGAAACCAATAAAAATGGAGATCGGTAAGATCATGAAATATGGGGAGATAGCAGATATAAATCAAGATGTCCTGGGGGGGAGGCTGGGAAGGGATGTGAAGGGTAAACAAAGGAGGAGGCAAGAATGCTTGATAAGAAATGTACTCATTATCTTGCCCATGTAATTGTAACCCCTCTGTACAGTATGTTCACAATTAAAAAAAATCAAGATGTCTTCTTTTCCTGCACCATCATTTACATTTTTAGTTTATCGTGTTTTTTCAGCTATCAATCTTTTTATTCAGAAAATACATACTTGTGATTTGTCATTTGAAAGAAGTTACAACACATCTGAGAAGATTAAGCTTAAGCCAGTTAAGAACCAGTCATGAATATGTGTAAGTGTATTTAAGTGTTTATTGAATCTTGAGGCCAAGTTTAGGGGAGGAAATCTTGGATCACTTCAGATACACAATATCTTAACTATTTAAATCTTGCCAATTAACAGTCTTCTAGACATTTTATAAAGAAGAATGTTAAGGGAGGGGGCCATACTGTGTATAAGTCTTGGGTTCAATCTTCAGTATCAAAAAAAACTTGAATGATGAATTAAGAAGAAAATCTCAGGTATTGGATTGAACCATATCTATTCATTCTCTAGAATAAACTTATGAACATCTATGTGTAAATATGTTTTAGGCTATAAATCATGGCAAGCAAAATTTGTAAAAGTGGATAAATATCGCCATTTGAGAAGGCAGACTACAATTTGCTTAAAATCTAGAGCAGATTTTCAAAAATGACTCCCATATTATATAGAACCCACTATTTTCAAAAGTCCCTGGTAAACTAGAGTCAAGCTTTTTGAACAAGAACTAAACCAGTGAAATTTTAATCATGGGTTGTCTAAAGAGGATATAAACATTACATAGAAACCTGATTTACTACAAAAAAAATTCTAAACACAAGACTATAAAATAGTCTCCAATGGGGGAGGGAAGGGATAGTAGAACAACAACAGGGGAAGGGATTACAATGATCTACAAGTAATATACACATTGCCTCACTCATGTAACTGTAACCCCTCTGTACAGCATCTTTACAATAAAATAAAATTTAAAAAATATTCTCCAAGTTTGCAGCTTATGTAACAAGCAGATGCACAAGGTTGGAGAATGAGGGGGGGGAAAATCTGCAAATATTTAAATCATGTTAGAATAATTAAGTTACCATTATTTATTTTATGTTTCAAGATGGTTTTTGTTTTTGTTTGGGGGAATACCATCTTGTAGTTAATGAAAAAGTATTTAATGTATTGTATTTAATGACCAATAAATTTTAAAACCAATATCAAATTTCCTTACTTGTATTACTGCTTCCAAATATTATTATTTGAAAATTCATATGTATAAGTGAACACTTCTCACATAACTTTGAAAACATCCAGACTAGGACATCAAAAACAAATCTTGAGCTTTAAGTCAATAGAGCTTCTTTAAAAACCAAATTAGCCTTTGCTTTTTTATTACATATTGCGTAACAAGGTCACTGAAGAAAGACTGTTAGAAAGTTTAAGCTACTTTTCAACCAGGTTTGGATATTTTCCTACATGTTTTAAGATTCATTTTAAGAGGTGGCACTAGACAGAAAAATTGTTTTGAAACTCTTTGATATTTAATTCTTCTAAAAAAAAAAAAAACCAGTGCAAACATGACTTAAAGGTGTTTAGTCTTTACATTTACCTTGAGTTCTGCCAGGGTTTATTATGGCTGTGTAAATAAAAGAAACAATTTTCTCCCAAAGATAACTGCTTAAGTCATTTACTGTCAATTACTTTATCTTTCCTGCGTTAATTAGATAAACAACATATGGGGTTTATAAAACAATTAGGCCAGAGTTTTACTAGCCAGTGTGTGAAAACCCGGGCATAATTGATATAGGAACCGCATTAGGTGCTTTTAGCATTACTGCCACCTGAGCAACTCATCCTGCATTTCAGCAGGACTATTTGCCTTTTTAATCAAGGTGAAGAGGTTAAATAGGCTCTCAAATGACTTTTGTATACAACCCATCACAGGCTTTGCTCTGAGATAACATGATACAAATATTTATTTCTATAGAAACAGAACCACGATGTCCATACCTGTTTTAGTCTCCTCCACTTAGCCCGCCGATTCTGAAACCAGGTTTTCACCTATGGGAAAGAAAGGAAACTTGCCAAGTGTCCAAAATCCTGAGAGACTGGGAAGAAGGGAGTGGGGGGAGGAAGGAGATTGGGGGCTGCAAAGCAAAGCAGTCACCACCTTGCCAGACACCACTGGAACAGCCAGTGCTCAGGGGTGGCTACCTTCGAAGCACGCTGGGGGGGGGATGGAGGGAAGAGGGATTGGGGAGGAGGCCCGGGATGCGAGATGCATTTATTTACCTGTCTCTCGCTGAGCTGCAGCATTTTGGCCAGGCGCTTCCGCTCAGGAGGGGAGAGGTATTTCTGGGTCTCAAACTTCTTCTCCAGCTCGATGGTCTGGTCGTTGGAGAATCTCACCTGGCCACCTTTCCTTTTATGTAGTGGCCTCTGTAAGAAAGGGCTCCAGAGCAAGGGTTTGCCTGCAAGAGAAAGAGGGAAGAGGTTAGTGATGGCCCTGGAGTAGCCTGGGCAGCCCAGCCCCCAGCCCTGCCTAGATTAGGGGAGAGGGTAACAAAGTAGGGGAAGCCACCCAACTAGATACATTCCTATCACAATCACATTGTCCTACAAGCACATAAGAGTCAACCGCACATACACACACACACACACACACACACACACACTCAAAGCTACAGGGCTAATCTCCATATGCACGGAGCACCTGCTCTGCAGGCAACTATCATACCTAGGGCTGGTTACAAACACAAATCTTAATCCAATCCTTAAAACACCACGATCTTCTTTTACCAGTCGCTTTGGAATATATGCACACCGGTTTTGCAGCCCTCAGTCCCCTCCCTGGGTGAGCTGCATTTCAATGTGCATGTTGCAGGGGAGCCGAACGCTTAGACCACTCAGAATTCGGCTGTGCAGAAGCGCGTGGGCCCGCGCCCCGCGTGGGGCCGCGCTCACGGTGCCTCCAATCCTGGTGGGAGGGCGTCGTGGTCTCCTCTGATTTCACACCCAGCCGGCAGGGACGGCCAGTTAAAGCCACCTCATGGGCTATGGCAACATTTCCGTCAATGTGTTTCCTGTTGGTCTATCTCAAAAAAAACCCTCTTTGCTTCCTCCTGCGTGGTCCCAGCAGTCACCCAAGGAAACCCAGCGCGCGCTCCGTGAAAATGTTCGTCCCTGGCCCAACCCCGCCGAGGGTCTCCCTCTTGGCCCCATCGGGGATCAAAGCCACGACGTTGGCCCCCCCCCCCCCACTCCCAAGCCTGGAGGCTATAGTTTAAAAATACAAACATGAAAAGCTTTTCAAACACAAAACTATTATCATGCGCACCTCCCAAATCTAATGATGGACTAGGAGGGAGGCCTGAGCCAGAGGCTGCGCTAAAATATGGTTTATATCAGGAAGTTAATTAAGATATTAATTGTCTTCAGGGTTCCTTCTACTAACAGAGTTGATTTAAAACCCTGCTGGCTCAGAGGAAGCTCCCGATTTTCTTATTTACCCTAGGGATTCAGACCCCAAAGGTGCCAAGGGCCACTTGGAGTCCCAGTGGTTGACTTATTTGCTAAGGGCATACACTGAGGGCACAAGCGGTCAATATTCTATGTGCCCAGGTCATCTGCACTGTGCTTCAAAGCTGGCGCCCTGGGTCTGCAACCTTCCTAACTGCAAAGAGAAATGGGTCCGTCTGTCCGTCCGTAAGGCTAGGTCTAAACGCTTTGAAAGCTGGCTTTGTTGTTGGGGTCTTCTTGTTGTTGTTGTTTCGAGATTTTTGCTTGCGTCAGGCTTCAGGCTGGTGCAAAACAGCCTCAAAAAAAAAAAAAAAAAAAAAAAAAAGGAAGCAACTGGTTATTTTAGCTGCCATAAAGTCACATCCCACACAGAGGAAATGAACAATATCAGAAAAACGGATCCTGGCTATCAGAAGTCGAGTGTTTCCTGAATTTGTCTGTATTGAGGATGTCGATAAAATAATCAGCAGCGTGCACTACTCCGGGGGAAGGGTCTGCTTCGTGCAGCCAGGAAAACACTTAACAGCTTCTGAAACCAGATTTACTCCTATCGAGAACTCAAGATTTCCTGTATGAACGGAAAGGGTCAGGCTCTTTCACTGCACAAGCTTGTTGAACCAAGTCCAGCCCTGAGATCACCCGGGGGGCCGGGCAGCGATCGGCCTGGGGCGCCACGACGCCCACTTCCCCGTCCCTCGTGTTAAGGGGAGGGGGAGATGCTGACCCAGGTGACACTCGTGTCCAGGGCTGCCCTCTGCCACTAGCCCCTTGGTGTGTCCCAAGTCCGCGCGCGCCCCGACGCCGGCAAGGCGCAGGAAAACCAATCTGAGTCACAGTGCGGTCAGCGCCGGCCGCGCGCCGCCCAGGGCCCGCGCCTCCGGTCCCCGCGCGCGCCCGAGGGCCACTTTTTCAATAGCTTTTGCCACAACTTTCTATTGCCTCTCTTCGCGTCCCCGCCGCCGCCGCCCGGGCGCTGCCACCTGCCGGGTGGCGCCTTCCCCGTCATCACCCTGGGAGGTTGGCCCCGCCGAGACCCGACCACCTTACCCAAGGGGTCGTGGCGCAGCAAGGCGTGCGTGTAGTCGTTCACCGTCCGCGGGAAGGGGTACAGAGGGCCTCCGAAGCCACCCGGGCCGTAGGCGGCGGCCAGCGCGGCGGCCGAGGGGTGCGAGAAGGCGGGATGGATCGGCGTGGGCTCGTACACCGGAGTCCGGTAGGAGGACACGAGGCTGGTGAAGGAGGAGTTGGGAGACGGCAGCGTGGGGGTGGGCGTGGGCGCGGTGGGCCCACGGCCCAGGATATCCTCGATGTAGAAGGGCGTCGGGTGTGCGGGCTGCAGCAGCGGCGTGGGCGCATACAGCGGCACCCCCACTGCGCCCGCCGCAGCCGCCGGCCCGGGGTGCGGGTACTGCATGGCTCCGCCGCGCTCCAGCCCCTCGGAACGCTGCCCGCCCGCGCCGCGGCGCTACATTTATCCGCGCTCCGGGCTCCCGGCGATAGGCTCCTCCGACCGCGGGGTGGGGCCGCGCTCGCTGGCCCCTTCCTGCCGCCCGGCCCTGCGGCCAATGGCGCGGGGCCCGGGAGCCACCTCCCGCCCCTACCCGTGGCCCGCCCCCGCCGTCCGAGCTCCCCGCCCCCGACACGGGCTGGCCCCGGGCCTCCGGGGATCCTGCGTCGGGTGCCCTGCCACCGCTGTCGCCACGGAGGACTCCAGACACCGGGCTCGGGACGCCCTCCGGCCGAGGCTGGCCGAGGGCCTTGGGCGAAGTGTAGTGCCAGCCGCGGCCAGGAGCGCAGGCTTGGAGCCCCCAGCCTGGAGGCACCGCTGCGGAACCTCAGGGGCACTGTCCAGGCCCGGCCCCAGGCGAGGGCCGCGGGCGTCGGCGGGCGAAAAGATGGCTGGCAAAGGCCGCACTTTCGCAGGCCCGAGAGCCCTTTCTGATCGGTCGGCGCGCTCGCTGGAATAACGGGGGCACTGACAGTTTCTCCCCCGGCGTCTCCCGACCCCGTCGCTGTCGAGGGCGCTGGCTTCCTTCCGTCGGCTCCAGCGAGAACAAGCCTCGTACTTCAGATGCACCCATCGGCTTACCGACGACTGGACTTCAGGTGCTCGGAACTCGGGGCCGCTCCGGCCGGTTTCATTTTGGGTGATCCGGGGTTCGGACACTTTCCTAGGGTGCTGGCAGAAGGTGCTCGGGCCACAGGATCTGGGCGGGGCCTGGGTTCTGAAGCCGAGGCGATGCAATTTTGTTTCACCCGGTAGGGCACAGATGGGGAACCCTACTCCCAATCCCTCTCCACCCCCCTCCCTCGGCCCTGGGGGTCACAGCCGCGCTTCCTCCGTTTCGCACGTGTTTTCCATCGTAGCGGTGGAGCTGCTCGGTGTGGCCGCGTCCCTGGGCGACTCCACTCGCCTCTGGGGCAAAGGGGCATTTTCTTGATTGACGCCCTCCTGTGGTCATCACACCTCGCTGTGAGCCGTGTCTGCTAAAATCCTCTTATTAATTGAAAAAACTCCCTGGATTATGTCCTGTCGGTCTGTCTGTCTGTCTGTTTTAATTTACGTCTTGGAACAGTTTCTTCACCTACCCTGGGCAGAAGTAGGATGAGGAGAGAACTGGGAGCTGGAGGACTTAGGTTCAGGTTCACTTCCAACGTTTTGTTGTATGAAGGCAGTGATCCCTGTCCTCGCCGAGACAGGAAATGAAATTAACCCAATAACAGATTTGTGCTAAGAAGGAGACAGACATGAGCAAAGATCTGGAACTATATAACAAGGAGCCGGCTCCTAGTGGAGGTAGGGAGGGGCGCATTAAAGAAGGAGGGAATATTGGAAAGCCTAGACTGTGAGAGAACATTCCAAGTCCAGAGAGCAGCATGTGAAAGTTTTAGCTAACACAGCTTTGGACAAGTACATCACCCTGGGTCTGCTTCCTCTAAAACACTAGGCACTTAGCCTAAAGCTTCCTACTTAAGAGCATGGATTCAGGGGCTGGGAATGTGGCTTAGTGGTAGACTGCTTGCCTAGCATCCATGAAGCCCTGGGTACCTCAGGTTCCTCAGTACCTCATAAACAGAAAAAGCCAGAAGTAGTGCTGTGGCTCAAGTGGTAGAGTGCTAGCCTTGAGTAAAAGCAGCTCAGGGACAGTGCCCAGGCCCTGAGTTCAAGCCCCAGGGCCGGCAAAAAAAAAAAAAAAAAGATGATGAATTCATAGGTATCTACCAGAATCGGAAGAGGATGTGTGGGGGGTATGGTGGAGCATATGATATATCAGTTTGTTGTTACATAAACTATTTTTGGAGAGATAACCATAACAGAAAATAACTTTGGGTGCCTATGAATGGAAAATGAATATTTGGAAAATTAAACCGTGTATGTGGCCCATTCACAGTGTAAATAAGTCCTTGAATTAGTGGCTGCATCTAGGTCTAGGGCAGGAAAGGCAGAAGATGAGCTCAAAGATGTCTTGTGTCAAAAACTGGAAAGACAGCTGAAGCTTCTACTAGCCAAACATGGAGTGATTTAAACTTCAAAAGTACATTCCACAGCTGGGCACCTGTGACTCATGCCTTTAATCTTAGCTACTCAGGAGGCTGAGATCTGACTCATCGCCAATGAACCACAGAACAGCCCCAGAAGTGCAGGTGTGACTCTAGGAGAGTGCCAGCCTTGAGAGGAATAAAGGACAACGCCCACACCCTGAGTTCAAGCCCCAGTACCAGCACACACACACACACACACACACACACACACACACACACACACACAAATACATTATAAAACAATACACTCATGAGTCCATAAGAATACTCCTGTATTGGAACCAGAAAAATGCCAATACAAATGTAGATGATTTGCTGAAGTCAGAAGACTTCACTTACTTAGTACATTCCTTAGAAGAGAGCACCATTGGCCACCACAAATACTGAGTAAAACACAAAAGGCTAGGATTTCACAATGTCTCATAATATCCCAATGGATTAGATTCTGGATTAAAAAACTATGACATTTTGGGGAATATGAATTGTATGTAGATGACCAAATTAATGCTGTCTTCAGTGTAATATTGGTGGTGTTATAATGGAAAATATTCTCATTGGAAATAAGACTAAAGTGAAATATTTAGGGATGATAGGTCATGATATCTTTCAAATACTTCAACGTACATATATATATAACACACACTTCTATTTACTCATATATATATATATATATATATATATATCCGTAAATATAGACATGAATAAAGAGGGAGATAAAAGTTATTAGTTGATGAGTTATTAATTGGAGAGAATACAGTAGGGTTGTCCTATAACTTCAACTTTTCTGTAGATTTGAAAGTTCTCAATATAAAAATTTCAAAAAAATCAGTGTTTTTTTACTTTTTTTTTTTTACCTTCACTTTTTACTTTTTTTTTTTTTTTTTTTTTGGTCAGTTGTGGGGCTTGAACTCTGGGCCTAGGCGCTATCCCTGCGCTCTTCAGCTCAAAGCAAGCGTTCTACCGCTGGAGCCATAGCTCCACTTCCCTTCACTTTTTTTTACTAGGATTTATTAGGATTTGAAATTGCTTGCTGGGCAGGTGCACTACGAATGTGCCACACATCCAGCAGCACTCACCACCTTACATTTTAAAAGTTTAAAATATTTGAATTAGGTCTGCATATAATCTTACTAATGCCTTGTTCTTGGAAACCACCAGTGAAGGGAGCTGATGTTCACCAGCTCCACCAGTCTTCATTCTCATCATGTAGCTTAATGAGGACCGGAAAGGGGCATTTATTATCTGAAGTTCAAATGTGCCTCGAAAAGTTGTATCTGAAGCCAAGTGCCACTGGCTCCCACCTGTAATCCTAGAAAGCTGAGATCTGAGGATCTTGGTTTGAAGTCAGCCCAGACAGATCTGAGAGACTCTAATCTCCGATTAATCAGCAACAAAAGCTAGAAGTGGATCGGTGGCTCAAAGTAGAGAACAACCTTGAGTGAAAAAGCGTTGTACTCGAGGCTAAGTTCAAGTCCCCTACAAAGAAAAGTCAGGGGCTGGGTAGAGTGGTAGAGTGCTTGCCTAGCATGCATGAAGCCCTGTGTTCGATTCCTCAGTACAACATAAACAGAAAAAGTTGGAAGTGGCACTGTGGCTCAAGTGGTAGAGTGCTAGCCTTGAGTAAAAGAAGCCTAGAGACAGTGCCCAGGCTGGGTTCAAGGCCCAGGACTGGCAAAAAAAAAAAAATCATATCTGAGTTTTCCAAGGTTATGATTTTGAACTAATCAGATATGAATTGTTTTTCTCACAAATACTCCCTCCCCCTTTATGTTTTCTCTCCTTTGTCTTGCCCCATCCATCTCATTAGCAACGGAGACGATCAGTACGGTTCATTTAATTCCTCTGCAGAAATCTCTAGCCAGTCTTTCACAATGGTGATTTTGTGGTAGCTGATTCTGTGCTTAATTCAGTGACCACCCAAAGAGATCTAAAACTACTAACTTTCCAAAAATAAATGCTAAAGTGCTAGAAATACTACTAATGTAGTATTATTAAACAATCACCAATAAAGGAAACATCTTTCCTTTATTATGCAGTGGAAGACCCTGGAAAGTAGGTAGAGATCTTAAAAGCCATAGACAGGCATTCCAGCTCCACTACATAATCCCCACCAACAAATCGAAGCACTTAATTCTGTTAAGCTATACAGCACTGCCTTAAAAAAAAAAAAAAAAAAAAAGTCATCAGATCCACATTCACTTGGCTGTAGTTAAAAAAAAAATTACAACCACATTTGTGAATGTCACATTTATTGAACTACATAATTTTTAATATTGCTTGTGTAGGTTTTATAGTTTGTTTTATTGTTTTAAAAGTCATTCGGGGCTCTAAAAGAACTAGATTTTTTTCAAAGTTGTCCTTATGATTTTTTTTTCCTCACAGTTAGAACTAATAAAACAAAACTGTTGTAGCTATTTAATTCAAAATCTCTTGGAGTTTCAATATTTTTTCTCTGCTGGATACTAAAACCAATAAAGCTACATGAGATTTTAATTATATACTGAATTAAACAAGACTCTCTCCAAAAATTTGGCACCCTTTATTTTAGTCATTGCTATTGTACAAGAGACCAATGGTTTTTTTTTTTTTAATGTAGTTCTCACCTCTGACTTATCAAGTAGGAACGTAAGTAAACTTTTTGCAAATTCTTTACAATAATTAAATATATGTAGAAACCAGGTGCTGGTGGTACACACCTGTAATCCTAGCTACTAAGAAGACTGAAATCTGAGTATCTCTGTTTAAAGCCAGCTCAAGCAGAAAACTCCATGAGACATTTTATCTCCAATTAATCATCAAAAAAGTAAGAAGAGATGTGGTTCAAGAGATAGAACACTACTAGCCTTGAGCAAAAAAGCCAAGAGAGAACACAAGGCCCTGAGTTCAAGCCTCAGTACTGGCACAAAAATAAATTGTGTGTGTGT